ATTGATAATAATCTTCCTACATTGGCCACTTAATTCAATAGAATGACAGCAATATAATACAGAATAATTTAATATAATACAATACTTAATATAATAAAACAATTTAATATAATACAAAATTAAAGTTAGTGTTAAATCAAAAGGCCTGTGAATGAAAAGAATAAATTTCTACTTAGGTCTCTCTTTCTTAGGTTTTTACGAACTTGTCGGATTATATGATATGCATTTGTCCGCAAGCCACTTGTAATAAACTTTAAAAATTTTAAATCTAATGCCTTTTAATATCGTTCAATTATAAAAGTAATTCACATTTAGTGGAATCTAGATTATTATCATACGTATCTTAATTATTCATACATCTTACTAAAATTGCAATTGAATTTTAGAGATATCATTCCTTTAGTTTAGCAAGTTATGGATTTTATTCTCTATCACATATAACCGAATCAACTAAAACTAAAAATCATGTCCACGATACGCGGTCTCCTTTAACGATAATTACTTAACATTTGATTCGATCGACAACTACCTTTGTCTGGGCGTAGCACCAAACGAATCCGGCCACACGATCATCGTGAGAAATCTGTCACTCGAAATTTTTACCAATTTTCTCATCAATGATTAATGGATAACGACGCGTACGTAGTGTTATTTTTTAAAGCAAAAGGGAAAAAACGAGAAAACGAGCACAGACTAGGAAACGTCTAAATAGCGTTTACACCGTCATTTATTGAGAATGGAAACGAATACAGCTGGATTGATCGTGGAAAACGTTATTAAAGGATCACGATCGGTTTCGTTTTTCAATGATCGCTAATAATCGTAACGATAGTGACGTAAGATTAAACGATAACACTATGTAATTAACGTAAGTTACCATAAGTAAGGAAACATAGAACATGGATAGAACGAGGTAGCATTCATTTCGAATAATTCTCGAGCAGCAACAAATTTCACGCCTGCAAGTTTCTCCCTTTCGTTCACGGGCAATGGACGTGATTTTTCGAAAGCAAATCCTTCTTGATCCTTCTCGATTAAAGCGAACGAACGCTGAACAAGTTACGTCGACGTTCTGTCATAACGAATGAAGAAGCACGAAGGGAAGCAGTTCAGTAGCGTGTTAATGCGAATTAACGTGTTGCTGATTAATTTATTTACGTAAAATAGTCCACTTTGTTTTACGATTACAGCACGATCAGCGTCTCGTTCCATTAATTATTAGGATCAACGAAGGTGGCGCGTACATTTTTTTTATTTTCTGCAACGAGTAATGAATTTCGGAGGAAAACATATCTATCGAGCAAGCGCGATACGTAGATAACTATTTTTTCATTGCCATTAGTATATACAGCAGAATGGAGTAAAAAACAAAAAAAAAAAAGAAGAAAAAAAAAGAGGAAAAAAAGAAGGGAAAGAGCGATTGAAACGACGCTAGACACGCCGCTACTGAACATTCGTTTATTATCGGACGACATCCCATTTTCCGCTGAGATTTCCTTCTACAGTGAGAGACGTTTGCCTTAATTTGTAAGATGTCCGCTTCCTTTACATATATAAATACATATATCTTAGAAAGAGTTAGCAAAGACGTATAGTTTCGACGAGAAGAGGGACAGATACGTTTCTAGGCGAGCAAGTAATTATTTTCGAGAACGTGTGAGGTAATTTGTAATAGACAGAAGAGGCAGGGCGCAAGAGAAATAGGGCAATGGAAATATTTTCGGGAGAAAAAACGAAAAAAAAAAATTCTCTGTCCGTGGCTAGTTTTCGTTAATTTCGCGTCGCGTGTAGAACGCGAACATTCTCGATGCTGAAATTGTAGTTTCTTATCGTTTCGGACTGGAAAATTAGTTCCATTCTTATCTGACGTTTCATTAATCAGTGCCGACAATGTCCCGAGACATTGTATTTCTCCCCGAAATATTGCTCCCATAGGTAGTACTTAATATGAAGCGAATGTGGATAAGGTGCAACAAGAAAAAGTTTCAAAATTTTCAAACGAGAGAAGACACATGATTGCCCTAATTTTTCAATGATTTCAATGTAAACGAATCGTTCATTCAAGATTCAGTTTTCATTTCATTAGTCGACTACCACGTTCTTCAATGAATTCGAAACTACTCCGATTTGTCATGAATTCATCGAAATTAACAGATACAATCCTCTGATAAATGATAAAGATATACGCATATGATTTCTAGAGGTTCATCATATTCAATTGATATAGAATAATTGTAATAACGAGGGAGAACAGATTTCTTGTTGCATGTTGATATCCAGTTTAATATTAAGTCATTCAACGCACATACTTAGCTGTAAGAATTTTTATAATGGTGCTCTATGAGATCGTCTCTGCCGTCGAATGCTGATATCATCACACAATTTGTCTCTTTTTAATATCAAAAATTTTCATTTTGTCGCTTATTGAAGTTAAAAAAAAAAAAAAAAAA